TTATTATCGATACAGAGGCCGAATCTATATTTTTTAGAATTTTTGTCTATCTGTCTGTTTGTCTGGGAACGCATCACGTGAAAACCACTGGACAAATTTTGATTAAATTTGGTATGATCGTATAGGATGATGACGATGATCATATAGGGTCAACATATAGGATACTTTTTACTGCGGGAAAGTATCTCATTCCTGAGAAATCTATACTAACCGTTAATACGTACTTACATATAGGGACGACACCGAGCGGAACGAGGGTCGCTAGTCTATTATAAATTACTTCAATGAACATAATATTTTTGTAGAACATAATCCTCCAAATAGACAAATTCGACCAACATTCATAATAATAATTGTAATAAGTATATTTAGAATAACTACGTATACTTATATACATGCAATCAAAAATAGCTTTTAACTGTGAAGGAATAAGATTTCGAATAAGATAAGTCATGATGTTATTTACAAAGAATAACTTATGATTAATGTTTGGGTGACAGATAAGATCTAGGTCTTGCCATCGCTCAAGTGTCTGACGTTTTGTAAGTGTAATATATTTTTATTGTGAAAACATTATTGGTACCATAAAAAATATACTCGTAAATATATGAATACACTAGCAGAACCCGCGGCTTCGCTCGCACTAAAACTACAAAAAAGCTCTAAAAATGTAGGCTTCATACAAATTTTACCCCTTTATGAGATGAATTTCGAAAAATGCCAATCACGTATTTATTTAATTGTATTGAAGAGCATTAATATTTAATACCAAGTTTCAAGTAATTCTGAACACAAATATTTTTTTCGGTTGTATTATAACGTGTTTTCCCGTGGGAAGTAGATGATCTCGCGCAGTAGAAAGTAGCCTATGTCACTCCTCAGCCCTTCAAATATCTTCACACAAAAAATCACGCCAATCCATCATTCCGTTTTCACGTGAAAGAAGGACAAACAAACACACTTTCACGTTTATAATATTAGTATGGATACTCCGCGACTTCGCCCGCGTTCAGATGAACGAAAACCAAGTACTTACTAAGGTTTTACATATTAGTATAACTCTTACATTACAGTTTTTGTATTTTTTCTTCGAAATGAGATATTTTCCCGCGGTAAAAAGTATCCTATATGTAGACCCGGATAACCAGCTATCACCATAACAAATTTCATCAAAATCCCTCCAGTGGTTTTTCCGTGATGCGGTAACAGACAGACAGACAAAAATTCTAAAAACTATACTAGATTCGGCCTCTGTATCGATAATAATGTTTATTTCAATAAGATTTTCCAAAAAAAAATTTATGTACAGATTCGGCTTAGTTACAATTTTATTATATGTATAGATAACACCTATGTTTTTGAGTAGAACATCTAAGAAATTGTGCCAGTTTTAAATGGACACTAAGATTAGGTAAATTTAACCAAACGACGTGATTTCCTAACGAATTTATTTATTATTTATTTATTTATTTATTTATTTATTTATTTATTTTTGGGAAACAAACAGTGACAAAATTCTTAAAATTAATTAAAAAACTAAAAAGTCCACACACCAGCAAAGTTTCCACCTATAAATATGTCACAGGTAGAGTAAACATAAATAATTTAAACATTAAAACTATATAATAAAATTTTAACAAAAGTTACTGCAAAAACACTACAAATGACAACAATAAAAATGACTAAGTTAGAATTACAAAAAAAATAAAATAAAAAACAAATTATAAAATAAAAAAAAAAACACAAAAAGCAAAACTCAAACTCTAACAGAACATAATAAAAAAATAATAAAAAAACATAATATGAATAGGCAAATTTAAAAACGACTTAAGGTTATGATAGAGATATTAAAGATTTTAAAAACACTTTCTTAACAATGTAAACATCTTTATAATTAAATAAATCTATGTTATTAAATTTATGATTATAATTATAACATGCTCGATTAATAAACGAATTTTGAGCAGATTTCGTACGTGTTAATTGTGGATCAAAAAACAACCTACTTCGAGAAGATAATCTAGGACATCTAAAATTAATTTGGCTCAATAGGTAAGGGGAATCAATAATATTATTGACTAATTTAAACAAAATAACTGTTCTCTCAGTAACCGACGGTTGGCCAATGATAGATATTTATACTCAAAATGTGTCTGACTGTCGGCTAATGAATAGCACCTATAGTTTAAGTATTTTATGAATTTCTTTTGAACTCTCTCAAGGTTTTCACTATGGACCTTGTAATGGGGGTTCCACACTAATGACCCGTAGTCAAGTATGGGAAGTACAAATGAGTTATAAAGAAGAACTAGCGTAGCGGGACTTTTAAAGTCTTTCCCGATTCGCATGATGAAGCCAAGCATCTTATAAGCCTTAGCAACAGATCGGTTCATATGGGGTACAAAAGTCAACTTACTGTCCAAGTAAATACCCAAATCTCTAACTTCAATAACTCGGGAAACAGTATCGCCACCCAAATGGTATTCATAAAGGACGCTGTGGGTTTTTCTAGTGAAAGACATAACACTGCATTTTTCCACATTCAACTGTAGAGAGTTATCCTTACAATATTCACAGAGTCTATCTAGGTCTTCCTGCAAAAGGGAGCAATCAGCAATAGAAGAGATTTTTCTGCATAGCTTCATATCATCTGCAAATAAAAGAACCGTAGAATGCCTTATAACTTCACAAATATCATTGATGTACAAGTTGAATAAGAGGGGACCAAGATGGGAGCCTTGAGGCACACCTGATGAAACGGGGAGAAAAGTTGAACAGTGCCCCTTTACAGTAACTGCCTGACTTCGATTATGCAGATATGAACTAAGCCAGCGGAGCAGATCGCCATGTATACCAAAGACTTCCAGCTTACGAAGTAGAATCTTGTGCGATATTTTATCGAACGCTTTCGAGTAATCGGTATAAACAACGTCTACCTGATATCCTGCATCCATAAACGAAGAAACACGATGTATCAGTTCACATACATTGGTTTCAGTGGATCTTTTACTAATAAAGCCATGCTGATTATCAATTATAATTGGTCTAACTAGAGGGAATAGCTCATCATAAATAATTTTTTCAAAAACTTTGGCCAAGATACATAATTTGGAAATAGGTCTGTAATTCCGTACATCACATTTATTGCCAGATTTAAATACAGGGACAACGTAAGAACGTTTCCATATCGAAGGTAAAATACCTGACTTAAGGGACTCGTTAAATAGAATGTAAATAGGGTAGGACAAGGACTCACAACAAGATTTTAAAAATATGGGAGGTAAATTATCAGGACCAGAACCTTTATCAACTTTAAGTGTTTTCAGATATTTTTTTACTTTACCAATGGATATATTGATGGACTCAATACTTACATGATTTACCGAATTAGTCTTCAATCTGACAGGTGTGTCTGAAGTGGCAGGCTCATAAACAGAATTAAAATGATCATTAAACAGACGACATATATCTTTGCCTGTGTGAGCAATTTGATCAGAAAGAAAAACTGTATCGGGAATCATATTGGAATAATGTTTGGATTTAACAAAAGTCCAGAAATACTTACTGTTATTTTTAATTTTGAGTTCAGCATGGTAAATATAGTTATCATAGCATTCGGCCTGGGCGATCTTTTGCCGTTCACGAAGTAAATTAAAATTATTATAGTCAATTTGTCTATTATAGGTTTTCCACTTTTTATGAAATTTAAGTTTTTCCATTATCATTTTCTTTAAAGATTTAGAATACCAGAAAGGAAAGTTGTTCACATATTTTACAATTTTTATTGGTATAAGATCTGAAATAATTTTATTGATTGTTTTATAAAAAATATCAACTGCATCAGATATTTCGCAATCACTTAGCAATTCCAGCCAGTTAACTTTAGCTATGACATTATTAATTTCGTCATAGTCTGCCTCGTGATATAACCTTATTGTGCGAGGGTTATCAATAGAGGTGCGAGAGTATGACAGTGATGGCAGCACCGACAATGTAGGGTGATGGAGATCCTCAGGAACTAATGAAGTGCTGCTTAAATTTACCAAACAGTCACAATTTCCAATAATCAGATCGAGATAACGTCCATTTCTATTAGGAATAGAATTAAACTGTCTCAGACTATTAAAACACAAGAAATTGTGAAGTGCATTGATATACACATCATCTGTGTGAACGTTGTCTAGGTTCATACCAGTACTATCTTGTGACCAACACGCGGAAGATATATTAAAGTCACCTACTATAACAAAATAATCATCAGGATGATATATGAGCAAATTAGATACACTTTCAAAAAAATCGCACAATGCTTCATAATGTGATTTACCATGTGGGAAGTAGCAGCAGTACAAATGGAGGGACTTCGTAAGAGGAGCTGATGTAAGACCAATAGAAACTTGTATAATTTCCGCTCCGGAAATGGAATGAGCAACTGAGGATCTAATATTTAAGTGTGTTTTAACCGCAATTAAAACACCTCCTCCCAAGCTTTTCCCTAGATCACTATAATTCCGGTCATTCCTATAGACCGTGTACCTGGAATCAAACAACTCGGAGCTATTTATTGATTCATTTAGCCACGTTTCACTAAGACAGAAAATATCTGAATCGAATTGTATCATATTCCTAAAAAATGAAGTGGTTTTTGTTCGTAAGCCCCGTACATTTTGATATGTGATATTTATATTATTAGACATTATTAAATAATAAATATATAGACCATAAGACCATTACCATTAAAATCAAGCAGTAAATAAATTCATAAATTGCAATTATATTTAGTACTATTGTAAAAAAATAAATAATATTAAATGTTATTATGGGAAAATAAAGATGTCCTAAATCCTTCAAGGGAATAAATACATAGTGGCAGTAACATAAAAACCAGTAAAATAAAAAGCATAACCTTATAAAAAGGAATTGAACTAAAAAACATATTAAAATAATTAGAGTAAATTGTAAACTACTACACCAGTCTACAGTAATATAAATGACTCTTATACAATCTTTTTTAAATCACTTGTCTTCCCAATGTGTAAGACCGGACTTGAGCTGTTCCGACGCACCATTATGCTACATTTTCTAACCCAAACGTATTCATAATGCTTTTCTTTAGCAATTTTTTTTACTTGTTGCAAAAGCGCTTTATTAGAACTTGTAAGATGGTCATTGAAGTAAATATAACTGTTGTTTGATAGAAATCCAATGTCATGGCATTTCAATTTTAGTTTTCTCACTTTGGCAAGAAAGTCATCCTTTTTGTATCGACACAAGAATCTTACTATAATAGGTTTAATCTTTTTGGCATCTTTATCTCGTGATACGACTCTTGTAATAAAATCAATATCAGTGTCAATATTTAAGTTGTAATTACACAGTTGGGATATATTCTGTAGTACTGAGTATAAGTTTTCATTGTTCTTTTCAGGAATACCATATATTTCAATATTGGATTTACGAGCCCATTGTTCGCGGTTATTATTTTCAGATTCTAATAGATCTATTTTAGATTTAAGATCCCCAAATTCTAAACATTTCGAAGATAGTTGTTTTATTTCTGATTCACATTTATCAATTCTATTGTTACAATCGTCATATCGGCCATGAGCAAATTCTAAACTTTCCCTCATACATGATAGTTCATCACGCAATGATTTTAATTCATTTTGAAGAGGTGTAAGGGAAGACTTAAGCTCATCTTTTAAAGAGGAGATTTCTGAAGAAATAAGGTGTTTAACCTGATCTAAAAAGGAAGCATTACAACTCAAGTCATCATCTTTGTCCGGCGAAAGCGCACTCGATGCCGACGCACCTCTACGCACAGTTACATTTTCGTTGATCTTAGGTTTAGAGTTGGACTTGGAATACTGACTACGAACTGGCGTATTATCCTTAACAGTTTGTCTTGGTAAAGCCAGCATACAATCCGGACAAGTCCATGTTATCTTAGATTCCTCATTCAACATTGGTTCAAATAAAGCTTTCGACGGGTACAGGCATTGGTAATGATAATGTTGATTACATTTAGTGCAAGTAATGCTATCGGTAGCGCCACCTGCCGTCGATTTGCAACATGCGTACTTCATTTTGACTATTATTATATTCGTTGTATTTTAAAATCAAGAAATAAATGTTTAACTTTTTTGCTTTGTGTTGGGATTTGAACTCGGGTTGTCACCACGTAAAAAGGTACGCCGTATACCGCTGCGCCAGGAATACATATACGAAGCGATCAAAATTCTGCTTGGTATCAACTAGAGACAGTACGAAGAACCGAGACGGTTGTAAAGGACGTTCAATGTCACTGTCCTTTGTTTATTTAAAACACTGTTTCTTCATGATCACTGCAGCTAATCACATGTATTAGTTAAAATAACACCCAGTAATGAAAAATCTAAGTAATTAACTAAAAATTACGAAAGGTTACGAGAGTTTGAGCACAATTAAGATTTAAAAACTACAGAACAAAGAAAGGATATGTTTACTCTAACGCTCGGAGCGCACGACTGATTATGGGGAGCAATACAATACGATGATCGCGAGCGGCAAGGAAAACGTAGTTTAGACAAACATTAAACATCCTGGTATGGCGGAAGTACATTTGCTATGTAATCATTATTAATAATTAATGTTACAGAAAGCCAGTAATTAAGGCTGTATATGAATTTACCCTTACTATTATCAGGGCTGGATTAAGAAGTGTGGAAGCCTTTAATAATATTATGAACAAATTAAAGAAGTATTTTTTTTTCGATTCTTAGAGCTCCGTAGTTTACAAGCAAAAATGGAACCCTTCTAAGTTAGTGTGAAGTTCTAGAAATTACAACACAAAAATTACGACAGATATAAAAAAAAAGATTCCGACGAATTGAGAACCTCGTCCTTTTTGGAAGTCGGTTAAAAACAGAAGTGGATATACGCAGTGGATCTCTGGACAGGTCTTCAAAATTAAGTTACATAGTAGTTGACAAGTAAGTTGCTAATTTATTATCTTTTTAATTAATCTTGTTGTGAACTTCATTTTTTCTTTCAAATTGTAAGTTTATATCATCAATTTTTTTAATTAATTTAATTAATTATATTGACTAGATTAGATATAGATTATGTAATTTATTATTTTTCAATTGCCATCTTTTTTAATTTTATAATTTTGACATTATATTATCACACACATAAATTATTTCATTGTATTGTTTAATTTCAATTATCTATTAACTTATTATTATTTTTTATTTATTACTAGCACTGCCCGCGGCTCCGCCCGCGTTCAGATGACCAAAAAACAATTTTTTTGGTTTTACATATTAGTATACTCTAACAATGCAGTTTTTGTATTTTTTCTCAGAAATGATATATTTTCACGCGGTAAAAAGTATCCTATATGTTGACCCGGATAACCAGCTATCATCATACCAAATTTCATCAAAATCCCTCCAGTAGTTTTTCTGTGTTGCGGTAACAGACAGACAGACAGACAGACAAAAATTCTAAAAACTATAGATTCGGCCTCTGTATCGATAATAATGTATATTTCAATAAGATTTTCCAAAAAATATTTAATGTACAGATTCGGCTTAGTTACAATTTTATTATATGTATAGATTGTTACTTTGTCATTAAATTATTTTAAAATTTATTAATGTAACTGACGTCATATTGCATGTTGTGATGATGATGATGTTCTCCTAGCCGATTCCGGCCACGGCGGCCAATCTCAATGAGATTAGCCAACTGCGCAGGAGATATTATAGTGCTCAAGTGTACGCGCAGACACAAGTGCACTCTCTATTCCTATCACTCTCATACTCCGGTGGGACGACCACTCGACACGACCGGTGAGAGTTAAGGTGCAGGACCGACGGCTTTACGTGCTCTCCGAGGCACGGGGGTGAAACACCGCCAACTTCCCAACTCCGGGCTGTTACTGAGACTTACTATACAGGAAGACTCAATAACTAAACTTGGCCCGACCCGGGACTCGAACCCAGGACCTCCGCGTGTGCAGCCGTACATGCTAGCCACTACACCACCGAGGCAGTTAAATAATGTTAAAAAATGTTGTGATAACCTATAATTAAAAGAACATTTTATCTAATTGTTAGCATATGAGTATGACACTATATTAATGTATGTTTGTTGGTTATGTATACATATATAATAAAAGTATAACTGATCGCTGTCTGTACATGGAAGATATTTGAGAAAAACTATCATTGGGGGTCTTTATTACGCAATAGAACCCAAAACAATGATTTTTAGAATTTTTGTCTGTTTGTCTGTGCGTTTGTGCGTGTTAATCTCAGAAACGGCTTAACCGATTTGGTTGCGGTTTTCACTAATATATTGTGGTAAGCTTCACTTAACATTTAGTATTTGTTTTATTTCAATCGGTTCATAAATAAAAAAGTTATGTCAATTTAAAGAATCACCTAGGGACGAACCCAAGCGGAGCGAGGATGAGCCGCTAGTCCCTTAATAAATAAATAAATAAAAATGCTTTTTAAGGAATTGTGCAAAAATTGGTATCGTAGACCTTTCAAAATAATTTAAACGAAAATTATTTTTAAGAAAGTGCGTAGAGGAGTTTTTGAGATGTGATATTTTTGATTAGAGATTGAGATTAAATAACTTAGATTCTCATAGAAGTATCCACAATGATTTTGATTTCTTCGATTTTGTTCTTTTTAATTGATAAAATGGATATTTTAGACAAAAGTAAGTAAATATTATCTTTTACTTTAAACGTAACATATTAGTAGGTATGTTAAAACGAAACATAAATTTTACGTTTCACGCTACGGAGCCGTCTGTGTGCAAGTCAGACTCGCACTTGTCTAATTTTTATTTTTATTATTAATTAATATTTTTACATTTTGCTACAAATCTTATATTGCGATTAATAATAATATATTGTTTTTACGACTCGCGATCTCTACGCCTACTTAAGTCGAAGGTCTGAGAACTTGTTCGAGCGACGACTAAGAGATTTATGGTTAGAATTTTGGTAAATTTATAAGATTTCAATTATTTAAGCCAAATAGATCAAAGAGTGTCAACTATCAATAAAATTATTTGGCCTGATTTGTCTAGTACCTAGCTTTTATATACATAAGAATTGTTTAAACAAAAACTTATAAGGTTGTAACGACTTACACTCGCTCCGCTCGGGTTCATCCCTACTTACGTTTTAACGTTTAGTATGGATTTTTCAGAGATGAGACATTTTCTCGCAGTAAAAAGTATGCTTATATGTTGACTCGGATAACCAGCTATCACCATAGCAAATTTCATTAAAATCCCTCCAGTGATATATCCGTGATGCGGTCACAGACAGACAGACAGACAGACAAAAATTCTAAAAACTATAGATTTGGCTTCTGTATCGATAATAATGTCTATTTCAATAAGATTTTCCAATAAATATTTAATGTACAGATTCGGCTTAGTTACAATTTTATTATATGTAAAGATTATGAAAGTATGAAAATTGCGTAGGCGTACGCCCATCAACGGAAATTTTGTCAAATGTAAGCGGTTGTCAAAGAATACCAATTTTTCTGTCGAACGGTTTCAAAGTTAAGTTGCCATGTCGTGACAAGTGACAGTTTTAACCGTCAACCCTAACCGTTTACCGAATGTCATATAATCTATTTATTTATTTAATAGGAATACCAGTATACATAATATGGAACATTTACATAGATATATTATTATAAAGTATCAGTTATCAGTCTTCACATGTATACCAATTACAGGTATTTGACAACACTGTCAGAATAAAAAATGGTACTTTAATATCCACAATAATTATAAAAACAATACTTATTAAATGAGATATGATAATGAATTTGGACAATATACATATAATTAATATAATATAATCAGTGTAATATATATATATATCTTAATATGATGATGATGTTGGTCCGCGATGAACTCCGGAACTACTTAACTGGCTTTAACGTATTTTTTTTCAAAATGTGTGATTTGTTTCAACTAAAACTGAATACAGAGGATAGTTTTTATCCCGATTATTTCCTTTTTTTATTGCAAGCTTAACGATTTGCATATGTGTGCCACAGCAATTCGTGGCTGGGTCTGCTAGACATACTAATAGTATAATGAGGTAAATTTTGTAAGTTTGTGAGTTTGTTTGTAAGAATTAATATGTGGAACTTCTGAACCGATTTTGATGAAACTTGCTAAGAAGATAGTTTAAGACCCTGGGAAGGATATAGGATAGTTTTTATACCGGAAATCATCCCTTAAGGGCGTGAAAATGGGAACGAAAGTTTGTATGGGGAATCTACCTAGGGACGAACCCGAGCAAAACCAGGGTGAGTCGCTAGTAATATCAAAAACAGTAAGTGAATCCGTATCCGCCACTCGCATCTCACTTCGCATACCCCGACCGATTGCCTTGTCTAGACTCAAGAGGCCTTCGTAAGACGACTATAAATAAATGAAGTAGACTGTGGTATTATTATGTTCATAATATACATTGAGGTAAAGTTTGTAAGTTTTGATGTAGGAGGTAAACCCCGAAACCCAAACCACATCCATCCATCCGCATCCGATTCTAAAGAGTATTACGAATATTTAGAATGGACCTTCAAAGTACAAATAGATTGTGTTTTATTCCGTTAAAATATGAGGACTTTTTATGAAGACCAATTTTGCAAAGAAAATAAATAACGAACAGTGCACCAAGTTCTCTAATGGCGACTTTTCAATAGAAATCCAAAGCTAAGAATGCTATAGCAATGCCGTGTTTCGCAGAGTATGTATAGCTGTTGGTTTATTGCCAACGATTTGTATTTTCAAAAACCTCCCAAATCTAGTTTCGGTGAATTCGTTTATTTACGCTATATGTCCATGATTGCTTTTCCTAACGCTATATCTGTATGAAACTACTACACTTAATATCTAGTATATTTGAAAATAGGCTTTAATGAACAAGTAAATAGAAAGGATACGCTATTCATTTTATAATGTTGTAGGAGGCTAACTGCCTCGGTGGTCTAGTGTCTAGCATGTACGACTGCAGATCCGGAGGTCCTGGGTTCGAGTCCCGGGTCGGGCCAAG